TTCATCCCTTGGCACGCATGCTCAAAGCCCTCCAGTCAAAGCAATGCCCATCAATCATGGTGCTGCATGGTGTGCGCATTGTCCTTGAACCACAAGTGCAAAAAGTGGTTGGCATTGCTGTTCAATTGCTTGTGTGCCAAATCCCAAATCCATCTGGCTGCATTGTCGGGATGCTTTTTGACGTTGCTTGCAAGCACAGCGTACAGCAAAAAGTACTGCTGGTCCTGCAAGGGTATCACCGTCAATTTGACCGTCACGATGATGAGTAGGATGGAGATGGAAATGAGCAGAGAGCTCGCGATTTTCCAATCTGCGCGTGGTATGGGTTCTTGCACCATCATGTACGCGTTGCGACCTGGTCGGGTGCGTGAGTGCGTGTCAGCGAGGGCGCGCGTGTCAGCGTAGCAAGACTTGCGTGCAAGCGCCGCCGCCCGTCGCCGCCACGCCCGTGGCTTTGTACATTGATGAGCTCCCGTTTCTGCAGCTCGCAAGCTGACAACCCAAGTTGTGCGGCCAGCAACCAGTCTGAAAGCCAAAAGTGAGTTGCCTCGGCTGCGCCAGTAGGTGCTGTTAACATGAACAACCAGGCAGGTGCAACAAGCAAGTCCAGCAAAGAATGTCCACTGACAGCATTGGCGCCACGAGGCCCCTTGCTGCAAGCACAGAGATTGGGAGTGTCGCAGACCGCCACATTGAAAGCAGCAACTCACCCCCTTCTGCACTGCAAGCAAGCAGAGCATGGCCGCTGGCAATCGCCCAGCGCAAGAGCTCCTGGCAGCCATTGGTATGGCCTTGGTGCTTCCTCTGACAACGTCGGCTGTTCCTCCTCCTCCTAACAGCACTTTGCCAAAGGAGCATCCTCCAGCAATGTCGGCCGTTTGCTCAGCATGGCCCTCATGCCAAACATTGGAAGTATGCTTGCCGAAGTGGAAAGCTTTGACTGGATATCTGCAGCTGATCTGAGAACCAACTTGACACGCATCCAGATACATCCTAGATATTTGCGAGGAGGTTTGCCCTGTTGGGTGGAGAAGAACATCCTTAGCGTTCTATTTTCTCAACGGGTTTGGTCCCAAGGACAAGGCACATGGACACGTTGATGACTAGAGTAAGGTGCGCTCTTGACAATCCAGAGTAGGAGCTCCTGCTAGCATGCGGGGTTCAAATTGGGCTTTTTTGTGGAGTGAACAAGGGCATACAAGGTGTGCTTAGTGATGAGTGCTAAGCTCAGCAGGAGTAGGATTGTTGTTGTTGTACTTTGGCTGATGCCCGGGCCGCGCTCATCATTCATCTATCTGACTTAGTCGGAGAAGCCAGGTGAGATGTACTGATTTCTGAGTCGACATTTTGTGTAAGTAGCCCTGGCGTGATGTTGCGAGCTCACAGGGTGCCTTGCGCTAGTCGCTCGCGATGCCTTCAGCTGCTGTACGAAGTCATGCTTCTTCTTCCAAAAGACTTCTGCTTGGTTGGGTGCCCATTGCTTCACGGCCTAAAAGGTCTTCATTGTGCAAAGATGCCCTTTCTATATTGACATTGGCATTCTGGTGATTTCATGATCTGCCTGGCGCACTTGCAAGACTGGCAGGACATCGTGCGTCTTGAAGCAAAAAAAAACTGCTGTGAGATGTTTCCTGCGCCTTGAGATTTTTTTTCGTCAGCAAGCGGATGGAATTGAAAGCAGAGCCGAAAGACATACAAAAGCAAGCATCAGAAAGATGGCACAAGACCTTGAATTGCTTCAACTACGTGTGCGCACCGTGAGAAGATGATGCGGCTGTCTTTACCTCTGCGCTGAGGCTGCTTTACGCTTGCTTTTGACAAAAGGTGAGGGCTGACAGCACAAGTCCTCGCTCAAATGGATCTAAATGTGATTTTGGCGTGTAACTAGCCGCGCAGCCGGACGCAGTTTTACTACCCATTCTGTGCGCGGCGCTTCCTTTCTTTGAAACTGCAAGACAGGTCGTGGAAGCTCGTCTTCTCGTGATGCGCTGGGAAAGCGGTTTGTCGGCAAGACCTTTCTTCAGGCGATTACATACAATTTTCGCCGAATGCCTCTCGCAACGAAATGTTGTTCGAAGTCATTCGTACCAGAGCCCGTCCAGCTGTTTGTTTGTAGTATGCGCGTCGAGTAGTCCAGAAAACGTATCTGAACACCAGCCCCGATGGGAGAGCTTGAAGTAATCGCCACACTCCGATTGAAGACGAGGGTGTTTTTCTTAAATCGCTACACTGTGTCTTGCAAGACTTTCCAGATTGGTAAAGTTCGAGCGAACTCCATTTGCGTATGGCACCGTGGGAGCATGCTAGTGTGGCTTTTCCAGAGACTCGCGACCAAACGCGGCGTCCTATTGATAACTTCTGCCATTGCGTGCGGTGTTTTACCACAGGCGATGGGAAGCCACAGCAAGAGTCGACTATTGAACCGGACCAGACACTGGTAGGAGCGCGACGCACGTGAACATGCAATGCATCTGAGTGGAGTATTCCAGATAGACAACCGGACTTACATGACATGGACCAAATCAAAGAGTGATCAACTCCGGCTAAAAGTTCGTATTGCGATCAACGAATCACTAGGTGAGACCACACGACGCGCTGTTTGGAGCCAGAGTTGATTACATTGTGTCCACATAAAATACTTGTACGGGATCCGACAGAACAAGAGACAGTCTTGCAGAGCGCGGTTTCGCACGGTCTTCTCGTGGGATCTTGTTGATAAGGAGCCATTTCAGGCTTCCGAGAGGTGGTGCCCTCTGCATAAAATTGCGTGATACAAGGTTGCTTGCTTTCAGGAGCAAATCCTTGGTGTATTTGGTTTGTGAGCCCGCTGAACCATCCTCACGCACGCGTCTGTTGACTCCGAATTTCGTCGCGGACAAGGGGAACTGACGACTTGCACAGCTTGCAACTTGCATAATTTGTCTTGTCATAAAAGTCGTAAACCAGAATGATGACGATCTAGTCTGGTCTGATGAATTTGACGAAACATAAGAGACACAAAAAACTGCTATGCCAACGTGCCAACCTGTCCAAAAGAATGAGAAATTGAGTCTTCGAGACGAATGGAATTAGTAGAGGTCGGCAGTAGCTGTGATCGCTTGCTGACACCCACATAAGTCGCTAGCTCTTGTCTAGAAGACCCTTAAGTTGCTTCGTGGAATCATTGGCTAGTACACATCTCATCAGTCTTCTTCTCGATCCCCACCGCCGCTTTTGTCTGAGCCAATCAAAGCGGCAAGAGCGACAGTATCGACTTAGGATGGAATGCTTTGATCGACTGCAAAAGCTGCACAAAAAGTGAATTTTTTCGCGCTCCCCTGCTTGGTAGAAGTAAACAGCAAAACACATCAGATTGCAGAAATTGTTCTGGCAGTAAGCGAACGATTCTCATTGACGGCGCTCTACAACCTAAATATTCTGCAACTCTGCCCCTTTTTTGCATTATTTGTCGTCCACAACGGTGTCGCTGTGAGGGGTCGTCTGCCCGATGGCTGGCGCCTGCAAGAAAGAAGGAAACCGGCAAACTGCTTAGCCAGCCACTTGTGGTGAGCGGTAGGTGCTCTTGCGATTACACAAAGAATGTCACACGCGTCATTCCGAGGCTTGCCATCCGTGCTCCGGCATTCTTCGTCGCCATCGATGACGCGAACAAATTGGCATCCACACGCAGTAGTCCCTAGAGCCGAGATAGTGACCGTCAAAGGATCACCTCCTGACATCGCTCCAAACGAATGCGCGCCTTGAAAGTTAGGCCGCAACGCGCTTTTACGGGGAATGGCACACAAAATGTGCTTTCAATGCGTTCGGCTGGTCAATCAAATATGATGACTGGCCCAAAGGCAACATCACCAGCGTACAAACACCAGAGTTGCCGTTTACTGAGGGTAATTCGGCGTCACTTGGCTCGGTGGGATCCCTCTGGAAAAATCTGCTGTGGGATCTGCTATTTTGTAGATCGCCCGGTATACTTGCTATTTGGGAAATGCACGAAACGCCTGGTCCTCGCCAACACTTTTGGCAGCACTTCCTCCCAATGTTTGTGAGTTAGCACTGCCCGTAAAAACTTGTGAATCAACCTAACAGAAGCGTAGCTGATGAACCTCAGCCAGGCTACGGGCCAGTCGTGGAGGGCTTGGATTCCGAGGAATCGTTGACAATCGCGGTAAATTCGCGCAGATAGAATGTTGACTGACGCATTTGCGTCAAGTAAGATGCTGAATAGAAGGCAGAGTCTCAAAAGCGCGTCTGTGACATTAGGAACCCAAATTACAACTGCTCTTAAGCGCTACCATGTTCAAACCGCGCCAAAGTAACGCACAAGCGATTGAAGGCAAGTGTTCAGCAGAAACGGGTGCTACAGCACCGGGTGACCTCAAACCCCAACGCCCACGGGGCAGAAAGCGATCTTATTACTTAAGACCGGCACAGTCGCGGTAGATCAAATTGACGTGATCGTGGCAGCGCGGTCGCTCGTCGCACTCAAAGTGCTTGCGGTTGGATTTCAAACGCGCAGAATCGAGCAACTTTGGGGAGAGAAGATGGGCGCAAGACGCTCATGGCAGATGAGCATGTGACGCGCTGCGCTCTTAGAGGACTACGAGAACGCAACGATAGGGAGTCCGTTTGTGTGAAGATTCGGAAAAGTCAGAGCAAGTCTGGCATTCGACTTCGTTTTTGCTTTTGCATCTTTTTCTTCTCTTCCTCTTTGCTGCCGGAGCCTGCTGAGCTGCCACCGCTGCCCGTGGGAGAAGCAGTTCCAGAGTCGTTAGACTTTTTGTTCTCCTCCTCCTTGCTGCCGGAGCCTGCTGAGCTGCCACCGCTGCCCGCGGGAGAAGCAGTTCCAGAGTCGCTAGACTTTTTGTTCTCCTCCTCTTTGTTGCCGGAATCTGCGGAGCTGCCACCGCTAGCCACAGGAGAAGCACCGCCAGAGTCGTTGGACTTTTTGTTCTCCTCCTCTTTGCTGCCGGCGCTCGCTGAGCTGCCACCGCTGCCCGCAGGAGAATCGCCACCAGAGTCGTTGGACTTCTTGCGCTCCTCCTCTTTGCTGCCACCGCCGGCGGCAGGAGAGCCCTCGCCAGCAGGATCATCCGGGTCGCCGTTCTCGGCAATACTGAGACCCTTATAATGCCACTTGAAAGTCGGACTGTCCCAGTCAGCATCAGGCACACCGGGCTCCAGTCTGGGAGTCCAATCGTCCTCTTTGAAGAATGAGTCTCGTGTGGTGGCAGCGTGAAGGTAGTCCTTGCTGATGCGACTGGTGGAGTCGAGCTTCGTGTCAACCTCTTTGGCGTTGAAGTATTCACCCTCGAGACCTTGAGCCGTGAACACTGTCTTTATTGGTTCAAAAGAGCCAGCGCCCTTGGCTAGCCACAATTTGGAGCTCCAAATTGGAGCCATGAAAGTGCCACCGTCGATCGTCACAACAGCGAGCTCATCTCCGGGAGCTGCGAGGTACGAGCTGCCAGCTATGGGTTTCACTTTTTCGTCTAATTGCATCGTAAAATAGGGTGAGATTAGCGATACTGCGCCTGCCAGATGACCCTGAGGAGCAGCGAGGATGGCACCATTCGCTAGTGCCCTGAATTCGGTCCTGTGCGCTTGGATCAGACCACTCCCTGCGGGCAGGGCGTGTTGGGAGTCAGATGGACTGGATTGGGATCAAATGCTTGTCTATACTTCTATTACGAGACTTACCGGCAAGAAGGTTGGTCCAACCAATCACGGCGCCAGTGCCAAGGACGCAGCGTCCGTCGCAGACCACGGCGCTGTGGATACCGAGTATGCGCGCGTTGGTGAAGTGGACCGACGCGCCAGGACCAACGTAGACAGCTGGACATGGTTGTGCAGATTTTCGCCCAAGTTGATCAGCCTGATTGACAATGATGAGATCGTCGATGAGGACTTCGATCCCATTCCCAACGATGGAGAGCACGGCGGACCCGGCGTTCGCGGCACCTTTGGCCTCGGCAGCGAGTAAGCTCCGCGATATATCGAAAGTCTCTTTCGCTTCCTTTGTGTCGTTGTTGAATACAAACGTGCTGATGATGCGAACAGAGCGCTTGACCTCAATTTGGCGACCATAGAAGGCTTCGGGCTTCGCCGCATCGTAGACTAGCATGACCACAGGAGCTTTGCCGTCAATGGCCGACTGCAGCTCGGCGCTGTCTTTGGCAAAAACGGTGCCGGGTGGACATTTTTTGATGTCCTTTAGGCCGTTGAGCTGACAACTTTGGAAGATACCAGTGGCTGAGACAAGGGATGCGAGTAAGAGAACGACGAGAACAGCCAGGGCGGAACCGGACAGGCGCTGCTTGAAGGGTGGGACGATCATGGTGAAAGGACTGGTGGGCTGAAAGGGATGCCGTTGTTTGCGGAGCGAAGGCAGAATCCGCAAGCCTTTACACAGAATGCCAGTATTTAAGGGAAGCACGTGGATAGCAGTGCTTCGACGTACACTCATACTTGATACCAGACTCCCTAGCGGCCGGTTGCATGCTAGCTATCACAAAGTGCTCACCAGGTGCCCCACATGATACAAGGGCGAGAGCGCAGTGCCTAGCCCCAAGGGTAAAATTGGCGCTCGTTAAGGTTCGTTGATGGATAGGCGATTGATGAGGACGGCAACCTCAACACCGATGATACCGGCTTGAACTCATCATGAGAGCTCCCAGGCACAGAAACAAGGGGCAAAATATATGGAGCAGACGCGCAGACGTTGCTGGGCAATGGGATACCACTACTGTGCCTGCTTGAGCACCCAAATTGCACCATTACATTGCTGCGCGATCAGGGCCATACACCTACTCAATCATCAAGGCGAGTGCTCTACCTTGGCCTTTGCCGCACGCACTCCCTGATCTGCTCAACGGTGACGCCGTAAGCCGGTAGAACAATGAAGAAGCTTTGCGGGTCGCATATGGATGGACCGGGTCGTCTGAATGTGCTGCTACCATGAAGCACACATGAATGGCGGAGCGACTTAACGTTCGAGCGTACTGCCTGCTCCTGCGCGTTGCACCTGCGTAGACCCTACCCCGGGTCCAACTTCATTTGGGCTTACTTCTGCTTCATTCTTGTGCCTGAGGCACAGTGTGAAAATCATGTGCAGATCTCGATACTGCGGTCTCATCACAGATCGCATATATGCTACACCACCTCCTCTACCGACCATGAGTATCAATCGTGCGTGCCTTGCATCGGCGATCCAGGCGCAAAGTTGAGTCAACAGCCGAGAGCCTGGGCGTCCGCGGTCGTGGGCGGGGGGTGAAGCTTGCTACCCCCTCCAACCGAATGTGCGCTCCACCCACCTCAAATCTGTTTCAGTCGGCTCGTATTCCCCATCCATCGCAGCCACACATTAACACAGCCGCGACGCAAATGTTGTGGCTGCATACATGCACTCACGTTCAGAGTGACGGCAACGTGGTGTCTCACTGATTCGCGATGGCAAGTCGGTGAGCCGCGCTCTTGACTGCCGAATGAAGGTTCAGCTGGTCTGCATGCTGACCGCGTTGAGACTGCAGCCGCACCCCGACAAAATCGTCAAAATTGCTAAGATGCTCCAGAGAGCCAGTGTCAATCGGCAAAAAGCCTGTTCAAAGGCGAAGGTTGGGTCTCGAAGCATATGATCAACTCGTATGGTATTCACTTTGCCAGCATACCTGGCTCCCATACGACGCCATCGCCTGTCTGCTTGTATTGTTTGACCATTATTCGGCTGACTTTGCAGCGGCACTCTTGCTCCCGCCAAAGAACTTGCCATACGCAGCTTTTTGCTGTTCCCTCTTAGCCGCCCTACGAGCATGGATTGCTTGCTTCTCGCGCAACGCTCCCGCATCGCCAGGCGCAAAGTGCAGCGTCGTCTCCAGATCTGCCAAAGCTGCGTCTTCATTTTTGAGAGCCACTCTGGGAGAGTTCAGATGCATAGCGCGATCAGCCGCCCGATGTTATATAGCATCTGGCTCATTGGATTGCCAGTTGTCACTCACTGGCCGAGCGCACGCCTGTAGTAGGCCTTTGCCAGGTCCGACTTGACTCGCTGCAGGCAAGCACGGAGGCGTCGGTAAGTAGCGTTTCTGCCAATCCTCGCATCGCAAAGATGACAAGACTCACAGGAGGATAGTCATCGGACCAGTTCTCGCCGCCGATCCTAGCAATGACGTTTTGGGTCTCATTGACAGCGACCTTTCCATTCGGCGGAGTGAGTTTGAGCGCGCACAGAGCGCTGTTGAGCGAGAGAGCATTCCTGAGCGTAGCGTACTCCTCCACCAACGCCTTGTCCTCGCTGTGCGGTTCTGGTAGGACAGGGTGCACGTTGAGGTATCGAATGGCCTTCTGCCACTTCTCTAATGCGCCTGCAAATTCGCCTTTGCCGAACCTGGCGTTGCCCAGAGCGCGCAATTCCGTCGCCACGCGGAGAGCTGCTTTCGGCTGCAGATGATCGGTGATGGAGTATGTAAGAGGCGCGGCAACCCTATGGGCCGCCAGAGGCCGCGCCACCGGCCACTCACATCCTTTTCGATTTCCTCCCCAGCGTCTTCTGGCCAATCTTCATACTTGTCCTCGCCGTCCGGCTCGATGCCCCAAGGCGCGCCCTATTCAAGGAAGAAGCGCGCACGTCTGCTCGTGTCAGAGAAGCTGCAAGGTGCAAGAATCGCGCGCTTGAGCCATGTCTACACACCGTTTCGATGACACCGCAATCGGCGATGGTGACCGGCTCCTTTGGCTTGTCCTGCGCTTCGGTCTCTACGGCCTCCATGCGACGCACGACGGCTTTGCCGGCAATCACCTTGCCAAAGACGACGTGCTGTGGATGAAAAGGGAAGAAAAGTGAGCGTGCAGATCGTGCGAGTCTTGCCGGCCACCTCATGCTCCCACCTTTCCATCGAGGTGCGGGGTGGGCACAGTGGTGATGAACTGCAGCATGAGTGTGGTCATGCATGGGAGAAAGGTAAGCGGTGCATGGCTGAGCGACATGCTCAGCGAGAGCAAGGATGCGAGCTCACGAATTGAGATCCATTGGTGCCGGGCCCTGCGTTTGCCATGGAGAGAAGAAATGGTTCTGAATGCTTCAAATCAAAGTTTTCATCCTCGAACCTGCATCGTAAGTCGAGCGAGATTGAGCGATGCAACGAAAGCGAGCGAGGGCATGTGAAGCGCGCGAACGACTGACTTTTCCCCGTATATGCTCTTGCCTCCGGTCCCGTTGTGATTTGTAAAGTCGCCTCCTTGGATCATGAATTGCTTGATACTGCGTTGGGTCGGCTTGGGATGTGGTGAGTAGGAGCGCGCTTGTGCGTGCGCATGGAGTCGCAAGGACGACATGACTCATGACTCACATCCTGCAAACGTGGTCAAACGAGCGGGGGCCACGGAGCAAGGTGAGCTTTGAGGGGAAGCGGTAGAAGGCGCAGGATGAAGGCTAGCCTCACCGATGAAAGGTGGAAGCCTTATAGTGCAGACCATCGCCCTTCTCTCCTGTAGCCAGCGCTCTAAAGTTTTCTGCAGTCTTGGGAACCTTGTCTGCAAACAACTCGAACACGATCCGGTTTTGTCCCGCCCGGCTGGCAGGCGCCTCGCCTCCAAACGTCACGTCAAAGACTGGCAACAGGGTGGATGAGTCGATCAAGCGTGAGCGTCACTCCTGCGCATCAGTCTACAGCGCCTGTCATGGCAACTCACACACGTGAGGATTGGTGGTTGTCATGCTGATGCTGCGTGCTCGTGCTCGTGCTCGTGGTTGTGTGCTGCGTGACTGTATGCTGCGACTGGGTCCGCGGTGCGCTTTTTGTGTCGCTGCTTGCTTCAGGGTGCTGAATGATGTTGGGCAAGCGTCGTCAAGTGTATCTGAGTGCGGTCGCGGATGAGAGTGTAGCCCGCGATGATTGTGGTGATGTGCGAGTTGCAAGTGCATGGGGTCTTTAGTCAGAGAGAGCTGCAAGTGTTGCGTGTTGATTGCTTCGCTGGTGTTGGGTATTGCATTCACGATTCTGGTGCCTGCGGGAGCGCGCCTCGATGCGCTGCTGCTGCTCATCGCCCAGAAGCTTCTCCACTTTTCCCCACCTGCTGCATGCGTGTCACGTGCACGCAGAGGCACAGACCACGCACGCACGCACGCGTGGAGGATGCTGCTGCAAGCGCACCGTGCTCAGCAGCAAAAGGCTTGTCGAGGCAGAGCACGCACGCACGCACGCACGCACGCACGCACGCTGCCTTTGCCCTCTTTCAACATCCTCCCACCCCCACTTGCATGCTGGTCTCGCTCGCCATCACTTCTAGACGATCCGCGCATCATCCTCCCTTTACCTCAACCAGCCCTCAGCCTTTCACGCTCTGAGCAACTCCGTACACGCACGCGCGCGCACACCATGTCAGACTCTCAACACGCCCACTTGGCCTACGCCGTATCTCGATGGTTGCAAGAGACTGGCAAGTCGGACCTCTCCTCCTCTGTAGCATCCGCTTACGGTGTGAATCTGCACGACGCAGCTCAAAAGGACAAGTACGGCAAAGGTCCCGGCTTGCAACAAGTGTTTGACATTTTCCTCAAGACGCAGAGCAAAATGGCAGGCGCTGCGGCTGCGGGTGGTGCTGCTGCTGCTGCCAATGCTCCCGCAGGTGCTCCTGCCAACAGCAGCAGCAAGCAGCCCAGCGCGGATGAGCTGAGCAAGGCAGAGTCTCTCAAGGCGAGTGGGAACAAGGCCATGTCCGCAAAGGATTTCGGTGCTGCCATCGCCGCATACACGGAGGCCATCCAGCTCAATCCCAACAGCGCAGTGTACTTTAGCAACAGGAGCGCCGCTTACTCTCAACTGGGTCAGCACGACAAGTCCATCGAGGATGCAAAGGAGGCCAGTCGGGTGGATCCCAAATTCGCAAAGGCTTACAGCAGACTGGGGCACGCCCTCTTTTCGACCTCCAAATTCGAAGAGGCAGCTGAAGCCTACACCAAGGGTCTCGAGCTGGATCCCAACAATCAGTCGATGAGGAGCGGATTGGAGATTGCTCGCAAGCACGCTCAGGATGCTCAGGATGCACCGGGATCTCCTTCTGCCAGATCTGCCCCCGGTGCAGGTGGTGGGGCCGGAGGTGGTTTGGACTTTGGTGCGCTCGCAAACATGATGGGTGGCGCTGGCGGTGGTGGTGGTGGGGGTGGCATGCCAGACATTGGAGCGTGAGTGCGGCATGGCTCTCTGTGTGGTTGCGTGGTGTTCAGCGCTGATGGGCACGTTCATGCGATGCTTGCAGGTTGTTGCAAAATCCAGCAATCATGCAGATGGCTCAGCAGATGATGCAGAATGGAGGCCTGGAGGGTTTGATGAACAATCCCATGCTCAGAAATATGATGGGTGGTGGAGGCGGCGGTATGCCAGAGTAAGTGTGCTAGGAGTGTGCAGAGTGTACAAGAGAGGCAAGTTGCTGACTTGAGAGAGGGACTCGCCCTGCACCACAGCATCAACGCACTCATGCAGAATCCGCAAATGGCAGAGTGAGCGCCATCTGACCAGCGGCACGTTAGCGCATTCGCTGACGTCCATACCACCGCTGACTGCTCGCAGAATGGCACGAAATTTGATGGGCGGTGGAGCTGGACGTAGTCAAGGAGGCAGCGGCAACAACAATGGCGCAGGGAGCAGCGGCAACAACAACAGCGGCAGCGGAGGAAGCAGCGGTGCAGACATGTTCAGCTGAGACGATTCGATGAATCGAGCTGAGCGCTAGTCCTGAAATGGTCGCCATGGGGATCGACGCGGGTGTAGACAGGGCATTCGAATCTTGTACATTTCATCAACAATGTCGACCAGAGTCACAAGCATGAGCCTTGGGGAAATGGTGGCGGAGTCGTGCATCGCGAAGACGCACCGTGACTGGGCGCACCGAGGACGATGAAGCCGCAAGCACTGCCTGCTTGAAGATTCTGGTCGCCTCTATTTCGTGACACGTCCAGAAGCTTGAAAAGACAGCCAAGAGCCTTGCGGCGTCAAGAGATGAAGGGATTGAACAACTGGGTGAGATCGGGGGTTTGGGTGCCTCACGTGACTTTGTGCACGCATCGGTGGACGTCTCGGCAGCGTATAGGCGAGAGACAAATGACGTGGAGCGTTTGGCGCAGAGGAGCAGCTGCTTGAGAGCTGCTCATCATAGCTTGATGATGAAAAGTTGTGGGCGCCTTGTGAACATTCGTGATTCGTGATTCGTGATTCGTGATTCAAGATTGAATGAAATGATTCAGAATTCGATCTTCAATTGGCAATGAGGTGCGGAGATTCAGCGACGCAAAGGGCTGAACCCTGCATGCATGCATGCATGCGTGGTTTGCGTTCAAGAAATTGAATCTGAGTCAAAAGTGAAGAGGCGGGTTCGCGGCAGCAGCATGCAGCAGCAGCCTCTATATACACTTTGACTGTGCACATATGTATCGCAAGGCGTTCGTTCGTTCCAGTCGGGCGTGCGTGGCCGCCAGCATCTCCTGTCCTGGGCAACGCGGAGCATCTGCACTCTTGACTCTTGAATGCAACTCGCAATAATCATCAGCACGCGCGCGAATCAGTGCGCTGCTGCATGGGCTGGGCTGAGCTACCTGGCGCGCACGCAAGGGAGATACCGGTACCTATACAGTCAGAGTATAAGATGACTGCAGCAGATTCGTGACGCGTGACTATTGTGACTGTGACTGCGACTGCGACTGTGACTGCGACTGCGACTGTGACTGGTGTGGTGCATGACTGTGCGCGTACCGCTGCTAAGCGCTCAAAGCGCACGCGCGCTCATCGCTTAGACTCACGACGTGACTGCATATCACGTATATGGAGCGATGCTGCTGCTGCTGCTGCTGCTGCTGCTGCTGGATGCTGCATGGATCGATGGATGCGCGTGTGTGGTGAGTTTGTCAATTGGGTGAGCGGTGAGGGGTGCATCGCAACACACACGTCCCACCCCTCACTCACACTTCATCTACGCTCGTCCCATTGTGATTCGCATTCGTGCATTCTCTTCACTCGTGACTCACACTCACTTGACTGCGACGATCCGCCTCGACTCTTCCAACTGACTGCCATCTTCCACCCTCGAAGCGGTCCACACGCCACGCTACGTGTCTCATCAGCCGAAAGCAGTTACAAGTCGCGATCGAGGAGTCAGTCAACGGTCGCCTCTCCCTCTCCCATCTGCCTGCCCATCATCCTCCTCCCTGCACCTAGCTCCCCTGGCCATCGCTTCCGCCAGCACCTGAGCACGCTTGACGAATCCTCACGACCATCGAGACGAGACGATTGATACAACAGCCTTGCTTACCGCGCTACAAGCAAGGCAACCAAACGGACAGCACAACCACTCACCCCACCCATCCTGCCCTGTCCATCATGGCCCACAATTTCCACAACCGCTTCGCTCCAAGCAGCAAAGATACTTCCCCACCCTCACCTCCACCTGCGCAACAATCATCCGGCACCTCCTCTGTGCCACAAGGCTCATCCGCTTTCGACTTTGACTTTGGCGAATTCAACTCCTTTGGCCAGACGGACCACTTTGCTTCCTTTGCCAATCGCGGTGATGCAGCCGTTGCAGGCGCTGCTGGCACACACACATCCGCAGCTCCACCCTCGTCCAGCGCGGCAGCGTATGGAGTTGTGAGCAGCGGTGGCACTGGCGCTGGTGCTGGTATTGGTGGCCCGCCATCAGTCACATCCCACACGCCGTCAGACAGCCTAAACAGCACACACACAGCTCAATCCATCTCTGCCAGCCCAGATGTCGCGCATCTCGAAGCTGCAGTGGCTCAACAGGAACGCCAGCACAGGCAGAGGGAGCAACCATATCAGAAGTCTCAGCCGCAGTCGGATCTGGACAGGACCTACTCTTCTGCCAGCATGTATGCGCAACAGCAACAGCAGCAGCAGCAGCAGCAGCAGCAGCAGCAGCAGCAGCAGCGCCCACCCCAGAATAATCATCAACCTTCTCCTGCTCCTCGCGCTTCCATGCAATCCAGCCACAGCGGTAGCAGCGCACCTCTCCCTGCTCCCAGCGGCTTGCCAAGGCCGCCAGCAATGCAGCAGCAAGCAGAGCCTCGCTCCAGCGCGAGCATCTACTCCAACCCGCACGAAAGCCTGCATGACGCGCCCACATCGCCAATCCAGTCTTCTCAACCACCTGCACCCGACTTTGCCTTTCCTCGACACCCAGCAGGCCGCGAAAGTCCGCCTGTGCAGGGTATGCAGGGAATGTCTATCAACAATAGCAGCGCGCGCGCCCCTCCCCCTGCAGAGCGCGAAAGACCAAGCAGCTTCTTTGGCATGGAACGACCCACGGCCGCTATCAATGCCGCAGGTCAGAGGGAAGCCTTGCCCCAACCCATCGTTCCAGCTGCGGCGCCTTCCTACAGAGACGGCGCGGAGAGCACAATGACCGGCGGGCGACCATCCTCCTTCTTTGGCGTGGAAGCTCCAGCTCACGCGTTCTCCGCTGGAGTCAATCATGGCGCATCCACACCCATCGACCAGCCAAGCGCGAACAGTCAGGCCGCTCGAATCGCGGCCTACCATCGTGGAGAGTCTGTGAAACAAGCACAAGCTCAGGCAGATGCTGCTTCCAACCCCGCTCTGGCCTCTGCCGGCGTATCCATTGACGGCGTCTCTGCTGCTGGCTACAATGGCGCAATGTCGAACCACAGCACGCTCGCAGGAGGAACTGGAAATGGACCAATGCCAAGCAATGCCGCATCTGGCAGACCTGCCAGTATCGCTCCTACCGTCTCCACTGGCGCTTTACTGGATCACAGCCATCTTCGTCCCGGTCAACAAGCTGCGCTTCTCTCACACAACAAGACGCTCGAGCTGTACAGGCAGAATGCCAAGAAGACCAACGATCCAAACCTGATCTACGAGTTGGCAGTGTTCATGATTGACGCAAGCAAGAGCATGGGCAGCGATGCCTCCAGCGGTGGCAGTGGTGGTGGCAATGGTGAGGATGGCGCGGCGCAAGGCAAGGAGGAGAGCGCTCGCGATGAGCTCATTCGTGAAGCCGTCGGGCTACTGAAAAAGATTGCCGAGCGTGGTCATGCAGACGCGCAGTACTTTCTAGCCGATTGCTACGCCAACGGCATTGGCAGTCCAAAGGGCAAGCAAGACTTTGATCACGCATATCCGCTCTTCGTCTTGGCTGCGAAGCACGGCCATGCAGACGCAGCGTACCGCGCAGGCACGTGCTACGAAAAAGGCTGGGGATGCCGGAAAGACGCTAGCAAGGCGGTGCAATTCTACCGAAAGGCAGCTTCACAGTCTCACCCTGGCGCCATGTATCGCCTGGCGACGGCGCAGCTGAATGGCGAGCTCGGCCTCAAGAAGAGCGCGAGGGAGGGTGTCAAGTGGCTGAAGAGGTCCGCAGAGTCTGCCACACCAGAATTTCCACACGCTCTGCACGAGCTGGCCCTGCTGCACGAGAGGGGAATCGAGAACACGGTGTTTGTGGACCCAGAATACTCTTGCGAGCTGTTGGCTCAGGCGGGGGAGATGGGCTACGCCCCATCTGCATACAAGCTGGGCGTCAATTACGAATATGGACGCATGGGCTGCCCTCAAGATGCTGGTCTCAGCATTCACATGTACAATATCGGTGAGCAGGCAAGTCTACCATGCCGGCCCATGCAGCACGGTGCTGACCCGAGCCGTTTCCGCGTTCCTCAGCCGCACAACAAAATCACAAAGAGGCGTGCTTTGCCCTCACTGCGTGGTACCTCGTAGGAGCACCCGGCATTCTGCCTCAGAGCGACACCGAGGCATACTTGTGGGCCAAGAAGGCGGCTGAGCAAGGTCTGGCCAAAGCAGAGTACGCAGTGGGCTACTTTACAGAGGTAAGCTGGAGTGTCAAGCCCATGTGCTCGCACACCTTGGAGCTCACGTCTTTCCCTGACCGCGCGCAGATGGGCATAGGAACAGTCAAAGATCCACGCGAGGCACGCGCTTGGTACCGCGCCGCTTCGGAGCACGGAGACAAGCGTGCAACGCAAAGGATGATTCAACTTGGCGGTAATCCAGACGCAGCGCTTGCAGGCGTGGGCGCAGGCGGGGGAGGTGGTCCACAAGGGCCTATTCCGCTGGGCGTCTCGACGTATGCCGGTGGGCAGAGTGCGCCGATACGACACACGCAGCCTCCCAATGCGCCCTTTCCCTCTGCTGTAGAGCAGAGCAGCATGTCGCCAATTCAAGGCCCCGGATCGTACCCTTCGCCACTAGCAATGCGCGAAGCACAGACATCGGCACGAGCGCAGGCATACGAAGCTCAAGTCGCAGCTGTGCAAGCTGGCAGATCGAGCAGGCAGCAGTCTATGATGCCACCTCCACCCATCACGAATTCTTCGAGCGGAGGTGGAGGACCTCCTCATAGAAATGCCGCACCGATGCAAACTCCCCACGAGTATCAAGGATCTCCGCTGGCTGGTGGAGCCTACCCTTCGTATCCTGCACCTCAGGCCGCAGCTCCAGCTGGCGCCGCAGAAAAGAAGAAGAGCTGGTTTGGCAAGCACTGAAGTAAACTTTCGCCCGCACACTTACCCCATCCTGGACTTTGACCTGTCTCTTCGCGCATCGAAACGCATCCATTCAAATCCCCTTTCCCTCTCACACACACGCACGATGGCATGATCGCTGGTTGGAAGCGTCTGCGTTCTGTGGTGCGCCTGCGGATATCATTGAGATTGGGCAGAGCAGAGCTCTATGCCGTACAAGGTGACCCGACCCCAGGCATCGGCGCTGCCCTTGAAGGCAAAGATCAGCGTTCGTGTCGTGGCATTGGGAGGCGCGTCGGAAGGGAGCTTGGAGAGTCTGAGAACGGTTTCGAGTGCGACGCCAGCGGCCGCCCCAGCAAAAAACAAAAACCCAAAAGAGGTCAGTCGATCTGACGCTAGTCGAGAGGCTGTGTGTGTGCCTCAACTCACTGCCATGACTGAAGGCTGTTGCGATCTTGCGGTCTGACGGTGAAGACGATGAGGGCGTTGCTTGCGTTGACTGGGGCGTTGCTTTGGGCTGCTTGGGATGCAGACGCCTCTGCATGGCTTGCGAGGTGAGGCGCTGACCAGCTCTGACCGTCTTCGTGAAAGTCATCCTCTTCCTCCTCCTCCTCCTCCTCCTCTTCCTCTTCCTCTTGGGCAGCGGGAGCGTGTGCCTGAGCGCCCTCCTCGTCGGCAGGAACGCAGCTCAACTCGACCTCTCTGGCAGCGTAGCCCCCTTGAAATGTGAGACGAAGGTGGGCGCTGAGCAGATGGGAGAGGGGAATGCGACTAGGTAGGCTGAAGCGCAGCGTATGCGAAGGACCAGCCGAGGTGGGCCAGGACTGGTCTTGAGAAGAGGCGCCGCTGCTGCTGGAGGAGGAGGAGGAGGAGGAGGAGATGAGAGAGCGGGCTTGAGCCTGCGAGGAGGATGCGCTGCAGATGTTTGTTGCGGGGGGGGGG